AACGAATTGAGTCGCTTAGTCTCTTATTTTGGGAGTATAAGTGGGAAAAGTCGATCGGATGTTGACTTGTGGGTATCGACCTCGGATTTGAATTTTGATAATTCTATTAGCTCTGTTAGGTGATTTTGGACTAAGGAGCACGTCCGGAATGTGATTTGGAGGTTCGCAGTAGATTTAGGCTTGAATTGGCGAAAGTTGGATTTTTGGCCATTTTGGTCGGCATAGGAAATTTTGATATCGAGCCCAGAATGGAATTCCGGAAGTGGGAGTAGGTCTGTAGTATCATTTTTGACTTGTGTGTAAAATTTGAAGTCATTCAGACAAGGTTTGATATGATCCGACATCGTTTGCAGAATTTGGAAAATTCAAAGTCCTTAGGCTTGAATCCGTGCATAATTCATGTTTTTGATATTGTTCAATGTGGATTGGAGGCTCGATTAAGTCTGTATGGTGTTTTAGGATTGGTTGATATGTTTGGTTGAGGTCCCGAGGGCCTCGGTTGTGTTTCGGATGCTTAACCGATGAATTTTTGGACTTAGGGAGTTGCTGAAGATTTCTGGTGTTTGGTGTTTCGCACCTGCGGAATGGAGACCGCAGGTGAGGACTGGCACGTGCGGAGGACTAGCCGCAGGCGCGGAAGTTGGAAACTTGACCACGGGTCGCAGGTGAGAGGATGTTCCGCATCTGCGATACTCACACATGCGCCCAAGGTTTTGCAGGCACAGTGAAGACCGCAGGTGCGCACAGTGCTCCGCATGCGCGCACGCGTAGGTGCGGCCCCCTTAAGTGATTTCTGCACTTGCGAGGGATTTTCCGCAGGTGTGGCGTCGCAGGTGCGACCCACAGCCCGCAAGTGCGAAGATCGTTGGGCAGAAAAGGGGCAGAATCGAGGGTTATGCTCATTTTCACACAAATTTGATTTTTGAGCTAGGGAGAAAGCGATTTCTTGAGGGCTTTTCAGAGAAAACTTTAGGGTAACAATTCCTAACTTGTTTTTGGTTGTATGTCATTAATCTATAGTTGTTTTCTCCATTTAATTTCGGATTTGGATGTAAAAGTTGGGAAATTGGCGAGAAAAGTTCCCCAATCGAATTTCTAAGTATTGAATGGGTTTTAGACATTGGATTTAGATGATTTTTGTACGAGTGATCTCGTGAGTGAATGAGTCTTCTAAATTGGTAACTTAAACCGAGTCGTGGGCCCAGGGAGGCTTTTGGAACGTTTTCCTTTTTTCTTGCCTTAGCTTCGAATTCATTAGCTAAAATAGTTACTCGTAGCTATATTTACGTTATGTAATTGATTTGATTAGATCTGGGCCATTCGGAGATGGATACTCATGGCAAGAGCGTGGTTTCAGACTGATTTGAGCGTGGTTCGAGGTAAGTGGCTTGCCTAACCTTATGTGGGGGAACTTCCCCTTAGGATTTTGGTATTGTTTGATATATGAGAGTCATGTACGAGAGGTGACGAGTACATACACAGGGTATTCTCCGTTTTTCATTAAATCATAAATATTTTCCCTTGTTTGAACTGCACCAGTAGGTGTATAATTACCTTGTTTATATTAGAAAAGCATGCCTATATGTTTTGACTGTCTACTTGAATTCTGTGCAGCATGTTTAGTGAAACTCTTGTTTTTCCTTAGTTGCACTTAGCCTAGACTGTAAACTTCGATGCTATAACTATTGTGTCATTGGTTGAGCTGCATATTTCCTTTGGGACTATGGACGTATTCTGGGAGATCCCCCAACACTGCATATTTATTTTGGAACTACGGGTGTATTCCGGGAGATCCCCCTGTATTTCATATTTATTTTGGGACTACGGACGTATTTCGGGAGATCCCCCAGCACTGCATTTTTACTTTGGAACTACGGACGTATTCCGGGAGATCCACCTGTACTGCATATCTACTTTGGGACTATAGGACGGTGTTCCGGGAGATTCCCTATTGTTATTCCTTTGTTTTGAGCTGAGGATTTTGTTGACTTCTATTACTGTGGACTTCCTTAATTATTTTGTTGTAGTATATATATAAAAATTTATGATTGAGCATAATTTTCAAAAATATATAATGTATATTATAAAAATACCGTTATTTAAGTAATTATTTTTTATATTACGTGTATGAAATATATGTTTTACAACTTTTATTTCTTTTCATTCTGAATTGTGCAAATAAATTTTTGAAGTTTTGTTGTTAATACTAAATTATTATTACAAACAAATTATTCTAATTAATTTTTTTACTATGCTCATTATTTTGTTATTCCAGCATTATATATGCTTAAATACTTTTTATTTTTTTAATATATAAATAATATTTATTTATTTTATAGATAAGTCCATAATATAAATTAAAAAGGGAAAAATCATAATATTAAAAAGTTTTAAAAAATAAAAAGAAAAATATTTATAAATTAGAGGGTAAACTAGGTATTTGGCAATCCAAAATTTGAAAAATCTAGTTGAGTGACTTTCTGAGTGCAATAGGCATAGTTTAGTGACTTTGTTGTTACAAACGAAAGAAAAGTGATTTTAGAAGATAATTTTGGATAATTAAGTGACTATTTGAGTAATTGACTCAATTAAACTTATATTATATGCACTTATAATCTAAAACAATTTTTTCGCTAACTGTGTATTCTAATTTGTTGTAGCAGGCGTCATATTGTTTAGGTTACTGATCTTTTTTTTTGATTTGTAAACTAGGAACCCGCAGCCGCTACGCTTCAGGTGCGTTTTGGGTAAAATATGCTTCAGTATTATAGCTCGCAAACCACATTAGAGAGTTAATATTCTTTTATAAATAACAAATATAATTATCATTTAAGTGATCACATAGTGCAAAACTAATTCTTTTTATACTGTCAGTTTATAAAAGTTAAATTGTATTTAAATTCTGAATTCGTGTCTGTGTTACCATGTACAATGTACTTGATTGTTGTTGGCCCTCTTGCGGATTCAATATGGAATAGTCTGTTTCTGCTTTTATTTCTTCGCAGCTTCTCGTTTGATCATGAAAATCTCCTGAGATGTTAAGTTGTTGAACCCATAATTTTTTATGCGGAGCATAAATTTTTATTTATGTGTAAAAATCTATCAAAATTGCAACAAATAGTACATACGAACTCATAATTTTAAGAATATACTATGTATTATATTAAAAAATTTTATGGTTGAACCCATAAAGTTTAAATTATGGATCGACAGTAAAAGCAAATTATTTCTCCTTTAGTAGTCTCTACTTAGATTTGGGGTCCGCTGTCTTTCTTGATAATTGACCCAGAGGTTGAGTCAAGATTTGTTAGTTACGTCTTCTGAATTTTCGTAGTTATTTGATTCATATAGTATGAAGTTGTTTCATGTTGAAGCTAAAACTTCATGGTAATATAGCATGAAGTTGTTTCACATTGAAGCTAAAACTTTATGCTAATGCATGCTGAAGTTATTTATTATGCAGTCTACAGTTTTGTCATGAGTTTTGTCCCAAACTTCAGTCAAAACATGCTGAAGTTTTTTAGTTTATTTGCTAAAACTTCACTTTAAACATGCTGAAGTTCTTTAGTTCATTTGCGAAAACTTCAAATTAAACATGCTTAAGCTTATTAATTCCTTTGCTAAAACTTCAGACTAAACATGCTTAAGTTTTTGTCTTGCCATATGTAATTTTCTAATGAGTTTTTTCTAATGCATGCTGAAGTTATTTAATTAATTTGCTAAAACTCATATCAAAACATGCTGAAGTTTTATCCTGCAGTCTACAGTTTTGTCAATAGTCTTGAAGGGCAAAATCGTCTTTTTAAAATTCTTTTAACAAAAAATGGGTACCAATGCAAACGAAAAAACAAACGGGAATAAGTTAAAAGGGGACGACCAAATAGGCCGCCCATGCAAATTTTACCACCTAATCCTTATGTTTTGGGGGATTTGCATCTATACCCGCTTTTTGGGTCACGTTTTAATTTATACCCACTTTGCAAAAAAAATTACAAGCGTACCCACTTTTCGCCTAAACTTCAGGCATACGGGCCTGAAGTAGCAAAGGCAATCACGCAAAACTTCAGCATTCTAGTAGACGGCTGAACTTAAGCATTCTACTAGCTGAAGTTTTGTTCTCTATTTGTTGAACTTCAGCATGTTTTAGCTGAAGTTTTGTCCTGTATACAATAGTTTTGTCGTAAAGCTTTTTCAAAAACTTCAGTAGAAGATACTGAAGTTATTTAGTTCATATTGTAAAAACTTCAGCACTAAATAAGCTGAAGTTTTGTCCTGGGTTTATTAGTTTTGTTATAAAGCTTTTTCAAAAAACTTCAGCAGAAGATACTGAAGTTATTTAGTTCATTTGTAAAAATTTCAGCACTAAATAAGTTGAAGTTTTTGTCCTACAGTCGTACTAGCTGAAGTTTTGTTCTCTATTTGCTGAACTTCAACATGTTTTAGCTGAAGTTTTTCGCGTAATCTTAGTGTTGGCTGAAGTTTTTGTTTGTAATTGCTAAACTTAAACATTCTACTAGCTGAAGTTTTGTTCTATATTTACTTAATTTCAGCATATTTTAGCTGAAATTATAGGACTTCAAGCAAACTAGCAATTGGCACTCTTAATGATAGTTATGGTGCCTCTAATTGGATTAAATGGATATCTTCACATGAAATACGTTAATGGTTTTGGTGCTGATACTAAGGTTAGCTCCAAACGTCTGTACTAACGAAAAGTTACAATATCAGTTTTCTTAATGAAAGTGCAATATTTCTGCAGAAATTATACGAGGATGCAAGTCAAGTTGCTAGTGAATCAGTTGGAAGTATCAGAATAGTGGCAGGAAGAAAGGAGCGCACAGGTAGCAGGAAGAAGAAGCGCCTGAAGTTCTAAAAATTAGGGTATAGATTAAATAATTTTAAAAATATGGATATAAGTTAAATGGAAGTGACCAGATAGGATGTTCGTGCAATTTTTACTCATTTTTTGGGAAAAATAGTTTACGCCTTATTTGAGATAGTGGTGTGCTTAAAATAATAAAGCCCCTATAACTAACACTGAACAAGAAAACAACCAACAAACTTTCCCAAATGGACACACGATGGAGGGACAAAAAACTATATCCAGCATTAGGCATTTTCACCATTCTTTCTCTTTTATAGAACTTCAATGACAAGTACAACCTTAATTTTTCCTTCCCACAAATCTTTCTAAGGCAACCAAAGATGGGTTTCGTTGGAGTTAATAAAACTCAATTTGTGATCAAGAATGAGGACCCAAAGACTCATTCTTTAACCTTACAAGAATTGTATATTAATGGGTGGAATTCTTATTGGTTAATGGAGGAAAGTGTGTGGGAATCTTCAAGGTATAGAGTCTCTGAGATATTGAGAAGAGGTGCTGAAATGGGCTCGAGTGTTTGTAGGACTTGGGCTTTTAGTGATGGTGGTGGACCCAATGATCTTCAGCTCCTACCTGGTGTCTTCAATGAAAGAGTGTTTAAGGTAATTCACTTCTAAGTTTGTTTGTTTTTATAGCAATTATTTGGATTATTGAAATACTTTTGTAGTAGAGGAGCCTTGGCATAACCGGTGAAGTTGCTGTTACGTGACCAGAAGGTCACAGCAAGACGTGGAAACAGCAGAAATACAAGATAAGGCTGCTTACAATAAACTCTTGTGGTCCCCCGGATCCTGCACATAGCGGGAGCTTAGTGCACCGTGCTGCCCTTGGTTTTTTAAATACTTTTGTAGCAACTTATTAAACTCATTCAAGTATCTAATTTCATTCTGATTTTCATTGTGTTATGGTGGTGTAAAGTGGGAGGTTGATTTGTTTCTCTTGAGACAGAGATAAGTTCCTATGTTAGTAAAAGTTTAGTGAAAAGAGAAGATAAAGGTTGAGTCTTTGTAAAAGATAGTTAAATACTATGCTGCAACATTTGGTAGTATTTCTAACTTCACCTTAATCGTAAGTGAATAATCGACTAGTAACGAAGGGTGTGACCTAGCTATGAATGAAGTAGGATGAGAATTACGGAAGACCATAGTTCAAATTCCAGCAGAGACAAAAAACGCTAGATGGTTTTTTTTCTCATTTGCGTAAAATTAGTGGGTAGAACAATTGAGATACCTGACGAACACATAAAAAGATCGGGATATCTGGGATGACCTATTTCAAGATCAGATGATCCACCTCTTTGTCACTCTTTGTCGCTTGGGAGGGCTAACGCGGATAGGTCATATACGAGGGAAACAACCCATAAAAGAGAGATATATGCCCTTTCCGACTCAGTTCACAATGCGGAGCTAACTAGCTAAGTTGGGTATAGGTGCACGCAAATTGCCCCAAACACCTCCGTTATAGAAAATAATGAATAATCGACCGACTTATTCAGTACCCTGTTGTAATTGTGAGGAGTTGTAGCTGGTGGAGTAACAGGTTTGGATATTCAGTTATATTCAAAAGCTAGCAGGGCTTCACTATAGATGGACTCGCCTTATGTCATGATTTAAACTGATAGGATTTATGCAAAAATACATTGAAGGACTCAACTTTTGGTGTTTAACATAAAGCGCATCAATTAAAAGACTACTGGAACATTCCAGTAGTCTAGAGCGCTACATCTAGCAACCAAAACATCTAGCATATCATTTTCTATAATGATAGTACTGATACATAATTTACTATGATATCACAATTCATGAGAACCTAGTACTGACTGCTATTATGCAGATCCAAGCAACTGAGTTTTGTGCTGATAGTGGAATGCGTTATAGATGGCCGAAGATACAAATTTTTTGTAGTATTTGCTCAAAATTCATTATATTCAATCTTTGTTGAATAATCGATACAATGCCATAAAAAGGCTACAGAAAGGAGCAACAGAAACCACAGATTAGTAGACCACAGTAGAAAAAAGACATTATAATATAGCATTTGCAATTTCTGACGATTGTCTTGTTGCTGTATCCGCAAGCATATGCCCACATAATTCTGTTTATCTTACTGTAATGTTACATATTATTGTGCATGGCCTTTCTTAATGATGCAATTTTAGGCCACCCCTTTTTTCGCATTTTGATATAGTCTAATTATCCTATCAATTTCAGGGATTGGATTATGTTATTGTTGAGGCAAGGAAGCATAACAATAGATTAATCCTCAGTCTTGTAAACAATTTAAATGCTTATGGTGGCACTGCTCAATATGTGAGGTGGGCACAAGAAGAAGGTGGTACCAATGTGTCTTCATCAAGAGATTCATTCTTTACCAACCCAACGGTCAAAGCGTACTACAAGTCTTTCGTCAAGGTATGTTCAAATGAAGAAACTTATGCCATTCTAGAATGTATGTTTTCCATTTACAAGGGTCTTCACTGTGTGAAAGCATCAATCAAAGCAAAGAGGACATGAATTTGGGCACATAGTGTACTAGCCATTGTTTGGTTTACCTATTCTAATTACTAAGGAAAAATACCTAGATCATTGAAATTCTTCTGGAGGGGCGTCATAAAACTATAAAAGCACTTTGCGATGAAAACTTCAGCAACTTTTGATGCATTCCCACGTCCAACTTCCGATAGTTCTATTCAATTATTCATATTCTTGTATGCTACTGAGATTGTACTAAAATTTATGTCCATTGTAAACTAACTAACCTCCTAATTTAACATATATATCTTAGTTAAGCAACTTCTTTCTATTTACGTTAACGTGATGAAATAAGGCAATAAGCGCTAGCACATTATAATTCATTATTCTTTTTGGCTCATAGCAGGCTGTTGTGACAAGGAAAAACTCCATAAGTGGAGTTAAATATTCAGAAGAACCAGCCATATTTGCATGGGAACTCATAAATGAACCACGTTGTGAATCCAGTTCATCAGCTGCTGCTCTGCAGGTGAGTTTTTCTGATTTATACTGCTTGCAATTGAGATTTAACCTCTCAACGACACTGGAAAAATGAGATTTTGAAGCAAGAGTGGATAATGGGCTCTCAGGTGGAACAATCTTGTGTACTGAAATTGGTCAACTAGCAAAAATAGTTGTTTTCCGCATGTATTTTTAAATTCCCTGTTCAAGGAAAATAAAGCATCGGACATAGATAAACACTTGCAATCATGTCACCTGGATTTACAGTAATCTTACTTATGACTCTGTTAATTACTATGATTAGTCCGCATATCAAGATTTCTGGGACAATGCATAAACCGATATCACTCGTCATGATGCATCTAGTACCTTCTTATGTTTAGCTCGAATGGCGATTTGTGAACAGGCGTGGATAACTGAGATGGCTGGATTTGTCAAAAGTTTGGATCAGAAGCATCTCGTGACTGTTGGACTCGAGGGCTTTTATGGTGTGGAAAAAACTGGAAGCTTTGGAGCGAACCCAGGGAAATGGGCTGCATCACTTGGAGTGGACTTCATTGAAAACTCCGCCATTGACAACATCGATTTTACTTCCATTCATGCTTACCCCCACAGTTGGTTGGTCAAAGCAGAATAAATTTATTCCAACTCGTACCCAAATCTGGTGGTAGTAGTAGTAGTACTATATGTAGAAGTTTAAGCTTGTTTTCTTTCAAAAAGATGCAGCGTAAACAGCAAAAAGATATGCGTTTATCACTATTTCCTTATTGATTCCGTTAAACCATGTTGTGTTGCAGGATCCAAGGTATAAATTCAGACGCGAAAGTAGATTTTCTATCTCATTTGGTTGATTCTCACATTAGTGAAGCTGAAAGATCCTTAAGAAGCCTGTTCTTTTTACAGAAGTCGGGTTTCCTTCCAGTACACAAAAGGAAGGATTACATGACAGAAACATTTATCTGAAAATAGTTTACGACAAGATTTATAAATCAGCAAAGAAGAAGAAAGCTGGTGCAGGAGCCTTAGTTTGGCAGTTGCTGGTGGAAGGAATGGAGCGATATGGTGACAAGTTCTCGTTTATATCGTGGAAGCATCCCTCTATGTATAAACTGACGGTACAGCAATCTTGCAAGCTACTCAATACATCTTCTCAATGCGTCTCACATAGAAAACTCAATCGAAAAGATCATTGTTTCGCTAATGCATCTTAAATATGATAGTTGATTGATCAGGACGGACAAAAAGGGCGAAAGTTACCTCTAGAAATAGACAATCTTGAATGATTTGTTGTGACATTGATCAAAGGTATGTAAAAGAAGCAACTCTGAGAAGTGTTAGCTGGAGGAGTTCAACAATCAGCTCATTTTATCAGGTACATAAACTCAGTTTTCTGTTGATGTATATTATATCTTGTTTGTACATATTACAATAGCAAAAGCATGTTAGTGTTTAATTCCTTTTCAATTGAAATAATAAGTGATTATTTCTGTAGATTACCAGTCGTTTGTCATCAATTCTGTATATTTGTCACTTAATGTTGTCTGTGACAGAATTACATGACATATGGTAGGGAGCGCTTCTCTCTTTAATGGGCTAAACACCTTATGCAGCGCGAATCTGGAATTGGTGGCGGACCCAGGATTTTATGCAAGCCGGTTCAATCTTAGAAGTACATAACTTTAATCGTAAAAAATAGTAGTTGTCAGCTGAGTTCAAATAAAATATTTTTACAAACTTTACGCAGCTTTACTCCTAATTTATACATATCACAATATTATTTTTTAATGAAGCGAGTTCAACTACCGTTTTTTTCTTTGTCTATTGACTGAGTTCCCCTTTTTAGTTTGCCTTTTCCAATATGTGAGATGTGGGGATGAAGCTCCGAAGCAGGAGCTAGCCTTCAAACGCGGGCGGAACTTCACTCTTTTTTAGGAGAGCTGCCTACGTACCTTTTTGATAATCTTATTAGTCCAACACTAATACTTGCATTAGGATAGGATCTACATTACACTCCTAAAGTACGATTCTTCCGTGAACTCTGCGTGAATGCATATGATCTTTCCCTGAATCCTGCATGAATGTAGGATGTTTTGTACACCCGACTGTTCTCCGAACTCGGGAACTGGTCTTTAAAAGAGCATTAATTTCCATTTATTGCTCCAAACAATTGAAGTAGGGCCATGTCTTGGGTTGTTCAATAGTGACTCATCATCTTGTTTTGGTCTTTAATGTTGACGACCTTGTCCTGCACATTGCCTAATGCTTTGCCACTTCATTAACAATGAATAATGCTTCATATCTCGAAAATAGAGATCATCTCAATAATTTCATAAATTTTTGGAATATGCATATATGATCTCGAAATTTCGTAAAAATTTATGGTATATCATAAAGAGATCAAATGCATCAAATATTGTCTTTCTCAAAACCGTCGAAGTGATCAACAGAGTATTTTTCCTTTTCACGGGTATCAAATACATCCCAATTAAGGAAGTTCGCATCATCCTACATTCGAGAAATATACCGTTAAGGCCCATGAATTACAGGTAACAAATTCGAGGAAAGAATCAAAGGATTAACAGAAGTGTACCTGCATTATTTATCAATAAAATTATATTTCTTCTTCTTCAAAAAAAAAAAGAACAATGCTTCAATAAGATGTGTCGATAAATGGGCCTAGAGTTCAACATTTTAACTGGGAAAATGACATTGTATAGTTGCTCTCAAAATAATTGCCGACAAAATATATAAATATTATTTATTTTTGTGGCTACCGAATGTAAATAGTTTTAGCTGCAGACTAAAAGTAATTTTTGCCCATTTTAATTGGATAACTAGTATGGTCAAGAAATAATCTCTTGTCACCATATGTAATTTGAATAAAATATTTGAGTCTATAAAGATTTCTGTATTTATTTTACCAGAATTTAATTTCTTGTAGTTATGATAAAAAAAATATTTACACAATCAGATACTTGTAATGTAATGACAAGTAAATTTCTATGATAAATATCAAGTAGTAACTTCATAAAAATAATAATTGACCAACTATAACATATTAAAGTATACTGATAGTGAAAATAAATTATATATTGTTAATATGGATAACTTAAATCCTTTATTGTTTAGACAGAAAAAGAATAACAAAGAATTAATTTCCAAAAAGACAGATTGCGGTGATCGTGTGCAGAATATATTTCCAAATTAGTAAACGTATCTTAGATGACAACTACTTATTTATCTTATGTGAAAGATGCCATCTTTCCCAAACCCCACTTCACATCTCTCGTAGCGGAGCCAGAGTTTTCATTAACGGGATCAAAATACAATAAAAATAAATTTACCAAGAAGTTAAGGGGTGTCATTATATAGTACATATACATATTATTTTTTTTAAATTACTGAGTTAAACAGTGTAATTTTTCGACGAAGGCGTGTCGGTTGACACCCCTTGATTGCATGTGACTCCGACACTGTTTCCTAAGTCAACCATCATATAATATGTTTTTTCCTATTAGAAAATAACCAAAGGCATCTCTTTCTACTAAATCCATTTTCCAAGAAGAAGAAAAGAGATCCATTTTTCAAGAAGAAGAAGAAGAGGAGGAGAAATGGAAGGGGAAATCCACAATTTCATAGTAGTATGGGCTATTATCTTAATAAGTTTATGTTACTCTCATACCATTGTCAAATTTTTTCCCAAAGGCAAATCAAGATTTCTTGCTATAATTCCAATTGTTTGCCTATTTTTCATTCTTCCTCTTTATCTTACCTCTATCAATCTTGGTGGCACTACTTCTTTCTTCATTGCATGGCTAGCCAATTTCAAGCTTCTTCTTTTTGCTTTTGGTCAAGGCCCTTTGTCATCAACCCCATCTTTGTCACTTTCAACATTCATTCCCTTGGCTTGTTTGCCTATAAAGTTTCAAAAACCATCAATTAGCAAAGTTGAAACCACCAAAAAGAGCACAAGGTCAACTTTGAATCATGTAACCAAGATTGCACTTTTAGCCATTTTGATTAGGGTGTATAGCTATAAAGACTATTTGCATCCAAAACTCATTCTTTTCCTCTATTGCCTACACATTTACTTCATGCTAGAGATCATATTGACCATGGTTAGTACCATGGTTCGTGTCGTTACTCGAGTCGAGCTCGAGCCACCTTTTGATGAGCCTTACTTGGCTAGTTCACTTCAAGATTTCTGGGGTAAGAGGTGGAACCTCATGGTAACCAATATACTCCGTCCGACCGTTTACGATCCTGTCCTGTCTATAATGTCAGACCGGATCCACAGGAAGTGGGCCCCACTTCCTGCTGTTCTCGCGACGTTCTTCGTCTCGGGGCTAATGCATGAAGTGATTTTTTACTACATTGGAAGATTGAAGCCTAGTGGTGAAGTCATGGTCTTCTTTCTCATTCATGGATTGGCTTTGGCTCTTGAAATTGTGATCAAGAAAGTGTTGAATGGCAGAATTTGGATTCCTAGAATTATCTCAGGACCATTAGCATTAGCTTTTATAATTTTCACCAGCTTTTGGTTCTTCTTTCCACCATTTTTGAGGGGTCAAACAGAGCTTAAAGCATGTACTGAATCTCTAGCTTTCTTAGAATTCCTCAAGCATGGGAAACTAGTTAGTCCAACTAATATGATATGTCCACTCTTGTAAGATCTTGATTTTTTTAACATATTTGACCGCTCGACCAATAATTTATCTTTTTTCGAGGCTCTATCGAAAATAGTCTCTCTATTCCTTCAGGTTAGGTAAGGTCTGCGTACACACTACCCTCAGAGGCAGATCCGGATTTAAACTCTATGGGTTCAACTTTTAAGATTTTTAACATTGAACCTATTATATTTTTAAAGTTAAGGGTTCAAATCTATTTTCTTGCAATTTTAATGAATTTTTACACATATATTTCTTCCGCATCGAAAGTTACGGGTTCAATTGAACCCATAACCACCACACTGCATCCGTCTCTAACTACCTTCCTCAGACTCCACTTGTGAGATTTTACTGGATCGTCGTTGTCGTTTTTGTTGTTTGAGCGGATGACTATGGACCATGTCTAGCTAACTTTCACATGTACAATTGTTCTTCTCCTTTAATACCAAGGTTGTATAAGATATGATAGAATTAATTTGAATGCCATGTGAAATTTCCTACTGTTGAACATCGTATTTGTCTTGTACTATAAATAAATGTTACTTTCTCCGGTCCATAATAAGTGATCAATTTGCTTTTGACACGTCCGTTAAGAAAATATTAAATTCTATACAAAATACCTAGTATGACTAAATTACCCTTAATTAAATATTTAATGTGAGGAGTAAGAAAACTTTTTAGGGATATGTACATAAGGGTTATTTTGTAAAAATAAATTGAATTCTTTCTCGATTATATAAATGGACACTTATTTATAAAGGGCTCCGATTAAATATGAAGGGCTCTCATCCATCTCACCATATATCGTTCTTGAGAAATAACGATATAACAATAAGTACTGCTTATGAATTTTGAACACATATAGCATTTAAAACTATGATGAAAGAAACATAATTTCAAAATTCAAATATGTTTAATTATTTGTAAAAAAGATTAATATTTATCTGTAGATATTATTTTTATACGATTTATTACATCATCAAGATCCATAACAGATGGTACAAAAAAGAGAACTTTTTTTCACATTATTCTTCAAAAGTAACCTAAAGTTACGAGACTCTTTTTTTCTTTTTAATATTAATTATATATTATTTAAGTTGCACGCTACTCTTTCCCATGATGTTGACAGATATTTATTGTCCGTTTGGACATAAGAATTTTTTTAACTTTTTTATTTTCATTTTTTCTCGAAATTAGTGTATGGCTATAAAATTTTCAATTTTCACTTGAAAATGAATTTTGGAATTTTTCGAAAATTTGAAAAACTCCAAAAACTATTTTTTTCAACATTTCCACATCACTCACAAAACTTCAAAAATAAACCAAAATTATATTCATGTCCAAATACAAATTTAATTTTCAAATACCGTTTTCACTTGAATTTTTTTTTTTTTTTTGGAATTTTACAATTCTAATGTCCAAACGCCCACTTAGAGTCCATTTGGACATAAGAATTTTTTTAACTTTTTTATTTTCATTTTTTCCCGAAATCAATGTATGGTCATAAATTTTCAATTTTCACCTGAAGATGAATTTTGAAATTTTTCTAAAATTTGAAAAACTCCAAAAAACTGTTTTTTTTTTTTCAAAATTTCCACCCATAAAACTTCAAAAACAAACCAAAATTAAATTCATATCCAAATATAAATCTAATTTTCAAATACCGTTTTCACTTGAAAGTTTTTTTTTTTTTTTTTTTTTTTTTTTTTTTTTGGAATTTTACAATTCTTTTGTCCAAACGCCCACTTAGTATAAACAATTCATTGCTAAATGACTAAACTAACCTAATATTACAAGAATGGACAGGTGATATTGGAAGGACTAATAAATTCTAAGAAAGCAAGAGATTCAGTACATCCTTTAACATCTGGTTTACCCCTCAATAAAGGTGGAAAGAATAGCCAAAAGCTGGTCAAACGGTCGGACGAAGTATATTGGTTACCTTCAGGTTCCACCTCTTACCCCAGAAATCTTGAAGCGAGCTCGTCTTGTAAGGCTCATCAAAAGGTGGCTCGAGCTCGAATCGACTCACGACTCGAACCATGGTGCTAACCGTGGTCAACATGATCTCTAGCACGAAATAAATGTGTAGGCAATATAAGAAGAGAACGATTTTTGGATGCAAATGGTCTTTATAATTATACACCTTTATCAAAATGGCTAGAAGTGCAATCTTGGTACAAGATTTAAACTTGATTTTGTGCTCTTTTGGGTGGTTAAAACCTTAATAAAAATACATACAATGATGGTTGACTTAGGGGACATCTTGAGGTGGGATTGGAAAAGATTCACATAATTAGATTAGTCTTCATCTAAGATATGTTTAATGATTATATGACAGACATATTTCACGTTAGGGTTGTTTAAATTGAACTCGAAAACCGTACCAAATCGAAAAATAAAATTAAATCGATTAAAAATTCGAGTAGGTTTAGTTTGATTTGGTTTGGTACTGAATAAAAAAATTCAAACCAAACAAACATATAAATATATAATTTTTATATATACTTTTAAGACTTTATATAGAACTTTCTTTATAAAATATCTAGAAATATTTGAGATTATCTCATGGGATGTAATACTTAATAGAACTATGAAGTGCAGCCATTTTTATTTACTTTAAATAATGGTTGGATCGTCACTTTCTGATCAAGTGTTACTGAAATGCATCAATCTCTTTGTTCTTTCATATTCATATGTCAAAATCTGTTAAATTCTTATATGTTCTTCGAATTTGAAATGGTATTTTAATAACTTTAAATTAAATAGAACAAATTATTATTTATGTTTAATGTTGATTTTTTTTTTGTGTGTGTTTAATTATTTAATTCGATTAACTTTGAAATTAAAGCGTACATAATGAATAATAATTGTTAGACGACTAAGAAAACAGCTATCCCGTGCCCTTAAAAAAAATTCTCCCATAATAATATATTAATTGATCATATGTTTGTTAGTTTTTTCTATTTTTACTAACCATATATTCACTTATCAAAAATTTATTTATAACTTTAATAAAGTAAGATTGAAATAATTTTTATGTAACAAAAAAATCCGAAGACCCCAAAAAGACTGACAAAACCGGACCAACCCAAACCGATACAGTTGGTTTGATTTGGTTTGGTATTGATCAACACCGACCATGTACACCCTATTACACATGATCAAGGTATCTACAATCCATAAAGGAGTTCTAATTTTTTTTCACAACAGACAATTCAATGTAATCAAATTTTTTTTAAAACCAGCTATATATAAATAATATTCTATGAATTAAACTTATATGCACGTTTAATTTAAAACAATTCTACACTATTAATGTATTCTAATTTGTTGTGGCAGATGTCTTACGTTTTTATGAATTATTATACTTATTATTTTAGTGACCATATAATGTAAAAATTAAGTTCTTTTATAACTGTGAGTTTATAAAAATTAATCTGTATTTAAATTCTGAATTCTGCCTTTATTTCTTCGCAGCTTCTTCTTTAATCATGAAAGTCTCGTCAGATTGTCATGTTTAGTAAAAGCAATATCGGTCAATTTTGAAAGTTAGTTTGTTTCTTCTTTAAGAGTCTATCGGAAACCACCATGTAATTACGAGAGTCCGGAACTAAAATATTGTCTATTTGGACTCAAACTATAAAAATAGGCGAAAAAACAAACGTGAACTAATATATATATATATATATAGAGAGAGAGAGAGAGAGCGCATTTCTGTTAGTATATTGTATTTGTAAAATAATTCTGGAGAAGAACACAACGTATAAACAGAAACGTAGAAGAAGTAAAAATTAATCCGAGTTCATTGAATTCAACAGTGTTTCTTTAAGGAAATTAATCCCCTCTTTATACCCGAGGTTATGAATTATTTTCTCCCAGAATAGAACGGATTACACACTGATATAGCAGTACGTCTTTTCGCATTGCAAATAATTGACCATAAGTCTTCGATTAAGTTTGAATGAATCTCATCTATCGCATTATATATCGTTCTTGAGAAGTAACAGCATTTATAGGATTTAATACATCATCAAAATCCACAAGGGATAATAAAAAAAAGAGAAGATTAGTTGAATCGCCGACCTATACTGACAATAATACATTTATTATAAAAGGAGAATATTTATATATTATGTATTTTTGACTAATTTATTCAAATAATGGTACGTGGAAAATATATTATAACGCACCTCTTATGGTCAAAGTCAAATTCACATTGTTCTTCTAAAGTAAACCAAGGTTAGGGGACCTTTTATTTTTGTTTTTTCTTTTAATTTTAATTATAAATTATTTAAGTTGCACGCTACTATTTCCCATGATGTTGACAGACATTTAGGGGGCCATTTGGCCATACATAATTTTTCGTTTTTTTAATTTTTAATTTTTTACTTTTTTTTGAACTTAATGTCTGGCCATGAAATTTTTAATTTTCACTTGAAATGAATTTCGGAATTTTTGGAAAATTCCAAAAGGCTGTTTTTCAAATCTTTCACTTCAAATGACTTGCAAAACTTTAAAAACAGCCCAATATTATATTTATATCCAAAAACAACTCTAACTTTCAAATACATTTTTACTTGAATTTTTTTTTTACTTTTTTTCCGAAATTTTACGGTTCTTATGTCCAAATGCCACTTAGTATAAACAATTTATCACTAAATGACTAAACTAACCTAATCTTACAAGAATGGACAAGTGATATTGGAAGGATTAACTAGTTTACCATACCTAACAAATTCTAAGAAAGCAAGAGATTCAATACAACCATTAACATCTGGTTTACCCCTCAATAAAGATGGAAAGTGTTTAGTTTTTAAGTTTGGTGTAGCTTAATTTTAAGTTTGGCGTAGCTTAAAGAGGGTGAATGGGAAATAGAGGGAAAATGACATAACCTATGATCCGCGACACGGTCCGGTCCAATCCATTTTCTTTCCCCGATTGTTTCAAATCCGTTTGTTGTTTCTCGCAATTTATCTAACAGCTATGGCTATTCTGAAAGA